TCAAGCTACATAATCGTTGCTCTTCTACATCTTTGTTTCCTTGTACAAACCAGATAATTATTTAAATCCTCCATCCCATTAATCAAATATGCGTCAACCTTTGCGTAAAGGAAACTATTAACCCACGTCGTCACTATAATGAAGTCCCAAAGTTCTAGAATAATTTGTAACATTCTTTAGCTGTTTTGATGTGTTAAGTGTTAATTAAATTTATTTACTACCAGATATACCATTTTACGCCTGAAACTTGTAGAATTTTACAGTGCCCAGATCATCAGGAATAATTAGATTGTCCAGGGCGATCGATCATCGATTTTTTTCTAAGACTAAATAAATTTACTCTAGAGGTAAAGCTGGGAGACTGAGAAAAAAACCTGAAAAAGATCAGGTTGTGACCTACCTATGAAAGGGTACGCAATATTCCGTAAACTGTAGACTACGAGTAGTCCCCATTTTTCCTCAAGGAATCATAGCAAGCGAAACGCGAGTGCGCGTGAAAATCACCCCACGCGTTTTTTTTCCTCTCCCCCACCTTGTCTCGCTTTTCTCGCGTGCAGAGGAGATTTTAGATTACTATCTCCCTTTTTCGCTTCTCCCTCCCCCCTTTAGCTTTCCTTCAGAAACACCTGATACTCAAGTTACGCGCGCTCGCGTTTCCCTCGCTCTACTATATCCCTGAGGAAAAATGGGGACCACTCGTAGTCTGCGTAAACTGCCGCTTATATGCCCTGCCCCCTCCCCCTCCCCACTAGTAAGCCCCCAGTTATCGGGTCATTTACCTGTAAACGAAAAATACATCCGAATATAAGCTTCCTCCCCTGGATATAAGCCCTCCGCCAAAGGCATGGAAACGAATTTGATCTATTATGACGTTTTCGAGCTTAAGGTGATTCCCTGGTTTTGCACTGCGCATCTCTTACTGCGCATAACAAGATGGCCGCCATAAAACTGGAGCATGTGAAGTAACATTATTAAAACAAAGTTGACTGGAGAGAAACGCTATTGGAATTTTTGCTTGCGGTTGTTTCTTGCTGAGGTGAGATTCAATGTGTTGGGAATGTGCATAACGTAAGCAGTACGCGTGTTGCTGAGTTCGACTTCCTCACGGAGAACCTCGATAGTGGATGTTTAACTTGTGCTTACTCACTTTGATTTTCATTTTAACGCTTTCTTTATCACTTTGTGTCCTAAATTTGATATCTCGATGTAAATTCTGTAAAAACGGATTTTTTAATACTTTCTTCCCCCTTTCTTTGAAACTCGCCCCAGTCCTCTCTCAAAAATCGGAGAAAATGCATTTGGTGCGCCCTTTCTGCAGCTCTATTTTAATAAGGACAGTGCTTCCTTTCGATGAGAAAAAATTGGCACAAATCAATGTTCAGTTTTTTGGCAATTTTACTAAATTGTACGGATTGAGCTATCACGGGTCGAATAGCGCGTGTCCAATTTATTTCTACTTTGGAGCATAAAGTAAAAACAAGGGCATTAAAAGGCATTTTTCTGGTACGTAAGTGGATAAACAATACATTTAAGTCAAATTCTGTGCGATACCACATGTATCATCGAAAAAATCTCTCCTTTTTGTCTAGTTTTGGGCTGCGCGCGGTTTTTATCAAAGGGTCCAAAATAGCCGTATTTGTCAGCATTGTGACGTCAAAACGAGCACGGTGACCCCGACTTTTTATTACTTTTTTATCATCTTCTTGACTTGTTACATCAGTGTACCAAGTTTCATCTACAATCTATGTTAGGTTCTGTTACTAAGGAATCACCTTAATCGAAAGGCAAAGCGTACTTTTGATCAACAAGGTTAAAGCTTGTTTCGAGGCGCTTTTTGTTGGCGAGCCTTAGACGAGGCAGCACACTATTTTCTACAAGAGCAATAAAAAGCCAAAGTTTCTCCGAGGTAAGATCAAAACTGCATGCGCATCCCGGGGGGGGGATATTTCCTTATAAGAGGCTAATGGGGATGTGCCGCTGGATGGGGTAGCATTTTCACGACTGGATTGACTATAATGGGGTCGCATTTTCAATAGAGTTACTAGAATGAGGTCGCACTTTTTCTGATTTTGGCCGGCTAAGACAGTTCTTCATATTTGCGGTTGCCAAACGTACCAGAATGTTTGTACTGTAGGTGTCGTTCAATATAAGGTAGATACATAAATAGGAAGTGACTAAGTTGGGATTGCGAAAACTACTTATTTGCCCAAAAGTGACTAAGATGGGGTCTATAATTGGCCACAGAATAGACTATAATGGGGTAGGGGCTCTAAGAGCCCAGCGGCTCATACCCAAGCCCCCCCCCCCCCGGGTGGGCAGGGGACGGGCCGCATGAAATCCAAGAAGGCAACCCCCGCAAATTCAGGGGGGGGATTTGACCTAAAAAAACACTAAAAAAGACAAAACAACTTTTGGGACTTAAAAAAACCCAAACAAAAAAATAAAAACACACAATGGAGAACAACCCGCTTCCTGAA